TGTCTAGAATATTGCAAAAATAGAGAGTTTTTGGTAAAATAGCCCATATTTAATAAAGTATCAGCACTTAAAGATTGACAACATTTGATGATGTCTTTAGATGATTGCCACTATAGTCAAGTTCAATTAGTGCGAATAGTATGAATAATACAAATATGATTACTTTACACTCAACTGCATTTAAAATTTATAAAATTCTAATAAATGAAAAGATTTTATTGTCTATTCTGCATTGTCTGAATGTTTAAATAAAGTGTCATCCTCCTATATACAGAAAGATTCTTTTTATGAAATATACAGAACATATGTGACAAATAAAAATTTAACTTTGGAGTTGGTAAGCATTCCATAACTCCTGCAACCCCAAGCCTCACAAGTTTAATCGTCACATATAGATAACTGTCACGAGGATGTTACAAAAATTTGAACTATTTCCTTTTTTATATAATAAATTTCCATTTTTGGTAGGGTACTGTATATTTCAAAAAAAGAACCTTTCTGTATATAAGATATTCCTTGTTTTTTTAACTTGCCTTTTTTTTACAAACTAAAAAAGATATTAAAATGTAGAAAAAATAAAGAAAACAACAAAGAAATTGCTGGACAAATGTTTGTCAAAAGAATGGTGGTTGTCACCACTCATTGTCACTCTAGTTATAAAAAAAATAATAATCCAATATTTAGTATTCAATGATGATTAATATTATAAAATATTCAATTTAATATATTGTTAATTTTATTCTATTTGGAAGTGGAGGACATGTAAATGTCCCAGAAGGTAGATATTGGGCATATGTTAGATCCTGATAAAAATATACAAAAGATTATTTATTTATCCATTTGTAGAAACTGATTTTAAGTTTATCAACATTTTAAAAAAGGTGTTTGCACAACAAAATCTTCAACAGCACAACGTCCAGACAAAGTATACCAATAGTAAGAATTTTTAAAAAAAAGTTTCATCATTTAAACTTGATGTTAAAGGTAAAAAATATGAACCAACAAGCCCAAGAAATTCAGCAATTGAAACAAGAATTATATTTAGCCAACAAGTCATTACCAACGTTACC